ATAGAATAGAATAGAATAGAATAGAATAGAATAGAATAGAATAGAATAGAATAGAATAGAATAGAACAGAATAGCAGAGTTGGAAGGGACCTTGGAGATCTTCTAGTCCTACCCCCGACTTAGGCAGGAAATCCTACACCACTTCAGACAAATGGTTATCCAATCTCTTCTTAAAAACTTCCTGTGTTGGAGCATTTACAACTTCTGGAGGCAAGTTGTTCTACTGATTAATTGTTCTGTCAGGAAATGTCTCCTTAGTTCTAAGTTGCTTATCTCCTTGATTGGTTTCCACCCATTGCTTCTTGTCCTGCCCTCAGGTGCTTTGGAGAATAGCTTGACTCCCTCTTCTTTGTGGCAGCCCCTGAGATATTGGAACACTGCAATCATGTCACCCCTAATCCTTCTTTTCATTAGACTAGACATAACCCAGTTCCAGCAACCGTCCTTTATATGTTTTAACCTCTCTTTAAGTTTGGTCCTTTGTCTTGAAACTATAAATCACAAAGCCAACAAAAACAATAAAAATAGAAATTATTTATTTCTATCTGTCCATCTACACAGAAACAGATACAGAGCGAAATATATAAACACATACAAAATAAGAATTATAACAGCTGTTTTGTGGGTATTGGTTTTTTTGTTGGTTGTGCCTTCAAGTCAGTCTGGACTCCTGACGATTCCCCAGATAAATCCCCGTAGGGTTTGGGTTTTTTTTGGCAAACTTCTTCACAATTGGAAAATTATTGCATTCTTCCTAGGGCTAAGAGAGTGTGACTGGCCCAAGATCACCAACTGGCTTTGCACCTAAGATGGAACTAGAATTCCTAAATCTCCTGGTTTTCTAGCCTGATGCCATCATTATCACATCAAACTGCTTTTCGTTTAGGCATAGTGGTTAAGAGCAATTAGAAGCAAATCACTTCCAAACCCTTAAGAAACTTTAATCCAGGGAGTCAACATTGACTCAAAGGCATCCTCCCCTCCCTTCCCAAAGGGATGTTTACTTAATTGAATTTTTCTCTTAAAGCTCATCTTTCAGATCCTTGCATAATTCTCCCAGGAGTCAGCCTTACATAACAGAACAACAACTTAACACGAACCTTTCCCAAAACAAACTCAAAATTATTCTAGGTTCACTTAAATTGGCGTAATCCGCAGTTAACAGTCCCTTGATGATAACGTAGGACAATATGGAGGATAAACATCACATATTTGAGTGGCTGGAGACTTACTTTTTTCTGAGGAAAGGTGAGTCTTGGTTTGCCCTCTCACCAGTCGGCAGGTGGAACCATCACCTGAGCAGATCCCACAGTTGTCTTCTTTGGCGTGACTCCCAAGCTGTCGATCACAACCTACAGCCTGCCAATAACAACACTGGAGTCAGAAGAGCAAAACGGACACAGGCCGCTTAGTTTTCTAGAGCGAAAACATCACATTCCCTCTTTCTCAGTTGCCTTCGGTCCCCCACCCACCCACCCCCAAAAGCACAATTTGGCTTCTTAACATTTCAGCAGGAAAAGTGCTTTAAAGTAATTATTCCTTAATGGATTTAAGTTTTAGGCCAGGACAATTAAACTCTTCTGGTGTGTCTCTGCCGAATAAAATATTTAAAATGTCTATGTTAGTCAGAGAAACACTATTCTGTCTCCCAGCACTTAAAAGTCAGAATCTCCATCACTGTGAGGTTAAAGACATTTCTTGTCATCACATCCAAAACAAGAAAGCCTAATTATTCCCTTTGGGGAATTAATTCATTTCTAGACTTCTCTGCAAGTAAGGCCCAAGATATTGGATCATATCAGTGACAGCAATATCACTCTCAATGGTCCTATTGCAGTTTTGAGGTCCTTATAAGTTATCTCTTTGCAGTCCCCAACTAACAAAATTCAATTTAAGCAGCTTATTGTTGCATTTCATTTCATACTCAACTTCTCAACTTCTTTCCCTGCTCCAAGTTTCTAAGTCTATTTCAATTAAAAAATGTGAGGGGGGGGATAATGCTCAGAACAAGCCCCACAAAGATCAAGTGGATGGTTTAAGTCACAGTTCAGGTTCTCTCCCATTGATTCGGTATATCTACCAATCTGTAATCTGATTCTACCTTAATCCAACCTAATGGTTTTATTCAACAAAACTTTTATGCATCTAGCCCTCGTTCCTTTCTTCCTACATGCAACAGGGAGAAAATTAAATTAGGAGGAAAATCTTATTTGAGGGAAAAGGACCCCTTAACCTTAGAGTGATTTCATCCTACTTCTGTATCAGCTTGTCAGTCTACAACTTCAAAAGAAGAAGAAGAAGAAGAAGAAGAAGCAGTGCATACTTTTAATAAACAGTTCTGCTTTTTTCTTCCATGGAAATATTTTTCAAGCAGGATAAGCATTCATTCATGTATCATTTTAAGCTGCCAACTTATTTTCATAAACTTTTTCCTCCAATATCTACATATTTGTACCGTAATTTGAATAGAAAGCTACATCGCAACATTTGTAAACGCATCCACAGCATAGCCTGTGTGAATTCCAGTAGTTACATTAAAACGTAAAGTAAGCATTTCCTCCACGCCCAAAGAGAACAGAGGATGTTCCTGCGAGCCTCCCAGATAATTTCCAGTGTGTGTGTGTGTGTGTGTGTGTGTGTGCGTGTGTGTGTGTGAGTCTGTATGTGCATATGCAAACTTTCTCCTTACATTTTATCTCCCGTCTAGTTTAGGGTCTTCTAATCTAACAGGTGGCTGTCCAGTCTTTTCTTAAAGGCCTCCAGTGATGAAGCACCCACAACTTCCAAAGACAAGCTATTCCACTGGTTAATTGTTTTCACTGTTACAAAGCTTTTCCTTAATTGTAGGTTGCTTCTTTCTCTGATTAGTTTCCATCCACTGTTTCTTGTCTTGTCCTCTGGTGCTTTGGAAAACAAGTTGACCCCATCTTCTTTGTGGCAGATTCACAAATATTGGAAGACCACTATCATGTCACCCCTATTCCTTCTTTTCATTAAACTTGCAGACCAGTGGTGAGATTCAAAGATGTTTACCACTGGTTCGGTGGGTGTGGCTTGGTGGGTGCGCTTTGCATGCGTGCACACACTTTGTGTGTGTGTGCCAAACGCACATTTTGCACAAGCGCAGAGGTGTTCCAACTCACTTCCTGCAAGCCTGCATTCTTCCTGTCACTTCAGCAGCTGCCATGCAACACTCTGCTGTGCCGCGCAAAGCAGCTGTGTTTCAAAAGCAAGGAATAAAGGTGAGTATGGGAGCCCAGGTGGGCAGGTGGGTCCAATAGCAAAACATCAGAGAACCAATTTGATCTCTGCTGCTCATTGGCGCTACCGGCTTGGCCGAACCGGGCCGAACAGGTAGAATACCATCACTGTTGTAGACATACCCAATTCCAGCAACCGTTCTTCATACATTTTAATCTCCAGATCCCTAATCATTTTAGTTCCTCTTTTCTGCACTCTTCCCAAAGTCTCAACATCTTTTTTTTATAATGTGGCACCAAATGTAGATGCAGTATTCCAAGTGTGGACTTATTAAGGTTTTATAAAGCTGTACTAATAATTCACCTTGATTTCAATACCTTGATTTGATGCAATCGAGCTTCAAGGCTTGAATTCTTCTGAAACAACTGCAGTTTCAGTAAAAATAATTCACGATTACTTTTTAAAAGCTGTTCCTTGAGCATGGGATACATCTAATTTATTAAGAATGCAGAGTTTCAAGCACATAGAGAGCTGAGCAGGAAAACTGTCTGGCAAAGGCCTCACTCAGTTTCACACTTCATCTCAGTCAGCCATAAAGAATCCAAGATTTCAACAATTAAGGCATTCGTTCAGCTCAATGCACCTCATATTGTTGGCTATTTACTGAGCAAAGGGATCAACTATAAATATTACAGGCAGATGGGGAAAACATCTGCAACCTTTTAGAGCATATCCAGAAATAATTATAAGTAGCTTTTTCCCTTTATTTTTTTTCTTAAAAAATAACCCTCTAGGATTATTACCTCAAATGAAATAAGTGGCAGTGCATTTAAGGGAAGGGGATTAATGGAAGAATTGGGACTGTGTCAAACTGCTAAAATGAACCATCACAGCATTGCTGTAAAAATGGACAAAAATGTTGTAAGGGTCAAATTATAGTAAACGTTCCAAACAATAAGGGTTAGGTTAAGTGTGTATATGTTTGTGGGTTTGTTTTTTGGAGAGAGACGGGGGGGGGGGGGGGGAAGAAAAATAATATGTGTATTGGGAAAGCTGTGAAGTTTTTACTTATAACAGAAATATTTTAAAAAATTAGCCTTTTGCAAAACAGCCAAATAGCCCCCCCTCCCCGAAGTATGAATTATATAGGCATATTATACAACAGTTTTACTTCAAAAGAATTCTTAGTGCTTTACTCAAACCAGAAATACTATTCTATTATGGAATATTATGTAAAGCCAATGCTTTGGAGAGGTTTTAATAATTAACCCTGCATTCAGCTAATGCTTTAGAGAGAGAAGAATGTAACAGTGAATGAAAGACATCTGAAATGCCTTTGAATGAGATGATCCTGCTTTTGTCTTCTTGAGAAGTTAATCACTATTGTCATCTTCAATCATGTGATGAGGTGCCATGTAGGTCAGTGGCCTCCAATCTTTGGGCACCAGGAACTGGTTCTGAGGGGGGAAAATTTCCATGGACCGGGAAATGGTTTTGCTCGCTACCTAGATCCTGTGCAGATAGAGTTTCGCTCACTTCCACGGACAAGTTCCTAATGGACCATGGACCAGTACGGGTCTACAGACCAGGGGTTGCTGAAGAAACAAGCCAACAAAGTGGTTTTCCTTGTTTCTGAAGGTAGGATCTGAGCAAACAGCTCAAGATGACAACAATTTTGACTAAAAGTTAGAACACCTATATAATAGTGAAACAGATCATCTTAGAAGTGGGTTCAAACAGAGGCTGATAGTCATCAATCCAGGATGCAGTCAATACCCTAGATGACCATCATGAAAAATTCTAGATCATTGGTCTAGACCTGAGAGAGGCAGGTTCACATTAGCCAGGCTCCTTGAGTTTATTTCATTGGGTTCAACCTATGAAATGGAAGAGAGAAATCCATTTTTGCTGTCCTGAGCAGAATAACAGAATAAAAGCATTGGAAGGGACTTTGGAGGTCTTCTAGTCCAACCCCTGCTCAAGCAGGAGACCCAAAACCATTTCAGACAAATGGCTGTCCAGTCCCCTCTTAAAAACCTCCAGTGTTGGAGCATCCACAACTTCTGAAGGCAAGCTGTTCCACCGGATAATTGTTCTCACTGTTAGGAAATTCCTCCTTAGTTCTACGCTGGATCTCACCTTGATTGCTTTCCATCCATTGCTTCTTGTTCTGGTGCTTTGGAGAAATATTGTGACAGAACTGATTTCCTCAACTTAGATGGACCACTTCACCCTTGAGAAGTCTCTTAAGCATTCTCCTAATTGTCAAAACAATCATTTACAATTGATGATTGGAACTAATTCCTGGTAGTAAAATGGGTTAGCAATTACTTTTCTGAACTCTTGGTGTCTCTCAACATATGCTGTGTGACTGAGATCTTAGATGGAAGTTCAACAAAGTTTTGTTGTGGGTGCTCCAACACCAGAGATTTTTAACAGATTGGACAACCATTGTCTGAAGTGGTGTAGGGTTTCCTGCCTGAGGAGGGGGTTGGACTAGAAGACCTGCAAGGTCCCTTCCAACTCTGTTCTTCTGTTGGATTGTACATTCTGAGCCACTCCACAGTACATATAGAAGCAGATCTGGAGATACCTAAATCTAGTCATATCACCACAAAGATTACACTAAAAGTTAAATTTCTACCCATTCTTTACCTCCAGAAGTTGTGACCTTAGATGGTAATAAGACTACTTTTTTTTTAAACCAACAGTTTTAAAATTACAAGACAGATTGAAAACTAGGTTTACTGAATAACCCACAATAATACAAACAAGAAGAGGTGAAGACTAAATTAGTCTTGATATATTAGAAGCAGTTATACGACTTCATAAATATTTCTCAAAATGTAAATCCAGAAATCAGCAAAAAAAAAAAAAAAGTTTCCACAGCTGTTTCTATAGTTCTCCTTCCCATTTGGATTCAGCCAACAAATTAGATTTAAATGAAAACCATGAACACAGGATGTTTCATTTCGATATGTGAAGGTTAATGCAGAACTGGCCACATTCGAAAATGTTCATTTCTTAAGCAGATGGTAGGATTTAAATATCACCAAAAAGAAAGGGTAGAGGGAAAGAGGAGAAGGCTAAAAAAAGACCAAGTCAAGACAGCAAACATAACACTATCTAATACACTGATCATAC